ACACATGTATGAGTCAGTTCCCTGAGATCCTTGACCTGAGCTCCTCATAGCATTTCACTCAGAGTGTATAGTATAATCTGTCCTGATGTTAAAGTTACTGAAAAGGCCAATTTTGGATTCTAATTATCTTGAGAGCCACCAGGCTATTTCTGATATCAGGCAGCAAGAATGGAGATATGATATCATGTTGTTTCCAGGCCTTGTTCAAGCACAAAACAGACTTTGAACTTTAAACATTTCAAGCAAGTGTCAATTTTTTGTTTTCTTTTAAGGCACACTGTGCATATGCCACTTTGTCTAAACAGGTGGGGAAAACACCAAAACAAACAACAGAATGCTTGGCAAGCAGCAGTGATCAGGATAAAGATAGACTATGAAGTATGTTTCTACCTCTGTTGATGAGGGTGGGAGGAAGGAGTTAAAATGGGGAGAGCCCCTGACATGTGCTGGCACACGCTCTTACGGGGCCGGAGAAAAGTGCTCTGCAAACTCAAACCGGGATGTTCACTCAGTGCCTGCCACCCGTTATGACTGAATGCTGTTCCTGTATCAGTAGAAACAGTTGCTGGACTGGAGAGAGAGTGTTTGGAGCTGTGGTCCATGGATGTTTTACAAACTCATATTAATTCCAAATTGAAATAAAGGACATTATAAAAATCTTAGAACCAATGAAAGTACTAGACTCCAAAGAAGGTTCATACTTCAGACAAAATTAGCTTTAATTATTATGATATCCACTGAGTATTGATATCACAAATTTTTCTCCTGACTTGATTCCTCAAAGAGATACTTAATACACGTACAGGTGATCTCTGGCAGTGTAGATGTGTAATGCTGGATTGTATATTAACAAATAAGTCAAATAAGTCAAATAAGACTTACATTGAGGATATAATGGACTTGAGTTTGAGCAATAACGGGCCATGTTAGCACTAATAACTCAGTACTTGGTTGGGAAGAGGCTGATGAAGGGAGTGTTTCAGTGTTAGGCAGACAGCCACTCAAGGCCGAGAAGCTTCAGAAGGAGAACATATTAACACGTTCATATCATCTGCCCTTCATTGTTTTTAGTGTGTAGGAACTCAGACTTCTCTTGCCTCTCTGAAAATGGCCTCTGCTTATTTTATCTTCTATAAGAGTGGGGATTTTGCAAATCATGAATTCAGATCTCCCACTAAACTTGGAATTAGTTGAGAAAAAAATCTGTATTAACCCCAACAAGTGGATATGAAGGTAGTGTACTTAAGCTTGTTTTTAAAAAGGTTGTGCCCGTGTGACATCATGATCTGGGTTTTGTCCTCCTATTGGGCTCTTTGTGCTACGTCACAGAAGCTGGTTATGTAGAAGAAAGGACTGATGGAGGCAGAAAGGAAATAAGAAATCAGCCCTCGCTCAAGTTCCCATCAAAAACCCTGCAAAGCCACCCAGGCCTGTCCTGGACATGAGAATAAACATTACCTCTGAAAGCCCAGCTCTCCACCTGGACAACCACTTTTTCTGTCCTTTGACTGTAAGCTCCTTGAAGGCAGAATCTGTGCTGGAATCTAACTTGGGCTTGAGTAGTCCAGCACCTAATGACCTTTTTTTGGTATAGCTAAGAGTCCATCTGCCAAAATGTCCTTCTGCTATATCAGAAATGCTTGGCTATACAAGTCAAGGTAGGGAAAAGCTGTTTATCTCTAGCTCTTTTGTTCTTAATAGAGAACTCAAGAGCTCTATGGATTTTGCTACCAGAAATAAACATACTAACAACCTGCCGTGGAGGAAAAAAAATCATAGTGGAGAGAGAATCAGGCTAATGTTCAATGTGGAGGGGAAGACAGTTTATACTTAATCCAATGTTAAGTAAAAGACACAGAGCAAAGTGCAACACTGACAATAGAAATGACCCACATTGGGCACTGTTTGATCAGAGGCCATTTTTCAGGATTAATTACTTTGGCTTTGTCTCATTTTTTTTTTTGCTACAATAATTACTTTTTTGTGGTTTCTGGAATTTATGAGGTTCTCTTCTATATTCAGAAAATAGGATCCAACTATGACAGAATTCTGCAAATTGTTACAGTTGTGTGCGAATGCACGCCTGGAAAAAGGATTCTGCACAAAATGACATTGTAGGGGACCATATTTATCCTGTTTTAACAACCACTATATCAAACGGGACAATTTTCATGGGAAAATGGTGTTTAAAGCTGCCAGAACAACAAGCTCCTTCTAAAAGTCGATCTGTGCACGTTCTGTCTCTTCCCTCCTCATCATCACATCAATGGTTTGACTTTTGCAGTTAAGACTTGGTTGGCAGTTTGGAGGTTGAGAACTGCCGTGGCACTCCTTGTCACCCTGAACAGGTGCATCTGCTCCGTGGGGGCAACCCCGACACACAGGGTGCTCCTAACAGGAGCATAAAAACGCACCCCAGAAGTTGGTTATTCGAAGTTTTGAAATGTGACTATTTACTAGTCATGTTTCTGACTAGAAATGTGTTTTAAAAAGAAAAACATACATTGATGAGGGAAAATGTCCTCAAATTTTAATCATTGTTGTTTGATTCATTGTTTGGTTTCAGCAAATAATAGAACACAGAAGAACTGAAGGCTAAAGGCAGAATTCTGAGGAATAAAAAATATCTATGCATGCACATGGGAAGCATTCAACCTAGAACCATTTACTCAAGTGATTTAAGTAGCATTAATCATTATAATATTGGTACTTTAATTTTAATAGAACAGCCTATACAAACAAATAATAAAGCACTAAGAAGGAAGATACTTTAGTATTTCTCCAACTAGCTGCAGGTATATTATAATATACCTTTGAAAAAGAAATTTATTCAGGTTTTAAAAATGAATTTAAAAATAACTGAAGTTGCGTTTTAAAGTATCTAGATTATTTATTTATGTAAGTATTCTGACTCAAATTCCTTTGAATTTAGATAGCTTGGTATTTTCTTTATATTTTTTAGAAGTGGTATTTTTCTTTGTTTAAGAACCTCATTTGTTTAAAAATTGTTTTTGAGTGGTTTTTGGCCACCAACTCTTCCTGGGGTTTACTTGGCTCAGATCTGTCCAGAAGCTAATTCTGATTCTTCTGTCAAATGCTCCATGGCACTGTGTTCCCGCTCTCCTGAAGGCCTGGCACGGCACAGGTGAGCAGCTGACCACAACGGGGATGGGGCTGTGCTTAAAGGGAAAAAGAGAGCTATCTCGTTTAATCGCCTGAGTCTCAGGTTTAGAGTTTAACCCAGGGCATCCTCTACTTAAAGCTAGGGTAAAATCTCTTCTCTGAATAAGCCTACATGCTTTATCAGCTGGCTTCAGCCATCTAGATGGAGAAATGATTTATTTTAACTGAGCCCTTTGTGTCGATAGGAGTTACTGGCTCCTGTTGACGGCAGGGGCTGTCCCACCTCCCTCTGAGGATTACGGTGACACTGCAGTGTGATCAGGCCCTCTTCCTCAAGGGCAAGACCTGGAGGGTCTCTGTTTCTTGTTTCCATCAAAGTGTCATAAACATGAATGTTGACTTGTCGTTGTTAGTTGGAAAGGCAAGGTTATTAGAGAAATGTGATTAACTTCAGGGGCTTCAGAAATGTGGCATCCTCATAAACTTCACAGAATTTGATTTTGGATTTGAATGCCCTCAGTTTTCAAGTCCCCCTAAACTATCTCTTGTTGATTTAATATGTCCAGGTTTTACTACGTGTCCTTAGAGCACATACTACAGCAACTTGGGCTATTTTATGTTATACGATAGTAACATGCACAATAATAAAGTTTCCTGAGTCAATTTTTCAATTTTTTACAAGTCTTTTTAATCAAATATTTCCTACCACCTTTGATTCTCAGACAGTGAAAAGCTTCCATTGTTCAGACTGATTTTAATGGCGATCCTCTTTTCTTGTGTGCCAAACTCCTCAACACGAAAATAGGTTTGAAATCTATAAATCTCCCCAAAAGACTCTCATAGCTCACTTCTCCCCCAACTTTGGCACACTGCCGTCAGAAGTGGCCACTCTTCCACCCTCGGGTGAACC